ATTCTGGGGTTGTTCTGTTTCTACCATCTCGTGCCAAAAGTGTGATCAGCATGAAAGACTTGTCCCAGAAATCCTGTAAAAGACACAACACAAGGTTTTTGTTGTGTTTTCTGATGGTGATCTCCTGCTGTGGAAAAGGTATCCCTCATTTTCCTGCTTGAATTGCAGGAAAGAAAACAACTGATTAAGTCTTAAATTTGCTTAGCCTGTAAAGCAGCCCTTGTGGCTTTTCTCTTTGTCACATTGTCACCTCTTGAGAGATGACCAGATCCTGCCCTGAGCGTTCAGGGGGGTTTGTGACACCCTGAACTTCCACCACGTCAGCAGCTCTTGGAGCTGCATTGAAAGCAGGTGGGTTTAGAACACTGTGATCTGAGTGCTCTTCTTCTCACAGTGACCTGAAATCCCAACATTTGGCTTTTACAGATAAAATAACAATGCTCATAATGCAATTGCTGTGTTATTTGCTTTAATATTCACCTCTTATCTGCTGCAGTATTTATGTCAAAACTGATTCTAAAATGACACATCTGTTTTGTTTGCATTAAAGCCTGTTGTTACATTGCTTTAAACACTGTAGAATGGGATTTTATTATATTTTTTGCCCTCCTCCAGGTTGAGTCATTCCCTGAACACGGGGTCTCTTCCCTGCTCAGTTGCTGTGCTATCACTATACATTGTTATGGCTTTGTTTACAGCTAATATTTTACATCAAAATCAAATTAAAACTGAACTACATTTTAAAGTAATAATTTCCTTTTATGTTTTTTGCAGAGGAGCTTTTAAATAACTTTGCCCAGCAGATAGGAGCCTGGAGATTCTGCCTGTACTTCCTGTCCAGCACAAGGAATGATTATGTGATGATGTACAGCCTGACAGTGTTTGAGGTGAGGGCTGAGCTCAGTGCATTCTCAGCCTGCTGCAGTTTTATCTGGCAATCGATTTTTTGGGGGGGAAATGTTTGTCTGAAATGGAATCCCTGGTAAGTACAGTGATAAAGGATGCTTTTATTGCTCTCTGCCAGAGAGGTTGCTTAATGGCAGGCACAGAGTGGGAGAATATGAATCTTTGTACACAAATTGAAGAATTCATTTCCTGGCATCTCTAAGCACAAATTACCTCCAGTTTCAGAGGCAGCTTGAGTTTCTGCACGATGCTTTTAAGGGTGTTATTGCTTTTATGCTGTTTTTATGATCAGAAATATGGGGGTGATTACCTGCTCCTGGCTCCTGCAGGCTCTGAGTGCTGAGAGGAAAGGCAAACGTGCTTTTATTTTTCAGATATTTTGTAGTTGTGGTTGGTGCTCTTGAGCTAAATCCTGCCAACTTGTGCTGGTTGGAGCAGTGAGGTCTCTCTTAGCCACATCCCACTCTTCACCTACTTATCAAAACAAAATTTGGGTTAAAAGCCTTGATATTGATCTGTGTGTCTGCTGGAATAAGCAGAAGTGTTCTGTGCACATCTCTGTTGTGTCCCTGATTTCTCAGTGAGCAGTGTCTGTCCCTGAGGGTGTGCTGGGCTGTGGTCGATGTCACACCTCAGTCTGGGCCATTGGTGGCCTCTGTGTTCTGTTCTTGGCTGGGTGGGCACTGAGCTGTGCCCCTAAATCAGAGGGGGTTTTGCCTTCACACTGGGCCACTTTGTGGATAAAATGCATGTTTAGATAAAAACTCTGCTCTTAAAGTTGTGTTGTTTTTACAAAGTATCCACATCATCATTGATTTCTTCTCTCAAATATTCATTTTACTTATTAAGAATTGCAGAGGACTCCATCTGCAAATTGAATCTGATTTACCTTCCCCTCAAAAAGGGGTGACCATGGCAAGTGGCATGGGAATTTTTCCTGCTCAGGGGATGGTGTCCCACTGATTTTCCTGACAACCAAACAAGTGCAGGGCCAGGAGGTGGTTTCAGTGATCCTTGGGATCATCCTGTGTGGGTCCTACTAGCTCAGGACATTTTATTTGGAGTAATAAATATTTTATTAATTCAGGAGTTTGGTTACCGAGCCTCTACTTCCCTGGAGGGGGAAAAAGTAGCACTGAAAAACCTAATTATGGCCAGAATAAAGAAATCACTGTGCAAGTGCAGAGGGAAGGACAGGAGTCCCCAGCCCAGCTGGGAGATGAGGATCTCTCCATGGAGGAGCTTGAGTTCCCAAAATTAACTGGTCCTCAGTTAACTGTCCCAGTCTGCAGCTTCCCCACCTATCCCTGGGTGCTGGATCAGTCCAGGGGGTGAGCACAGGGATCATTCCCCAAACTGCCCAAGGACATGGATTTCCCAAACTGCTTAGGAAGTTAGCAGTGGATTTAGAATAAAACTTCTGACCCCCTTCCAGATGAATTGTTTTCACCTCCTGCTTTTTGAAAAAGAAAAAATCTTCCCAAAAGCATTTATAGGGAGAAAGCTGCTACTGGCAGGTGGGAGAACAAAACACAGTGGGCATGAAGAGATGGATGTTAAAGCTAAAATATCTTCCAGTTTTATTGGGATTCTGGACTTGCATCAAGGAACCCTCAGCTGGTTGGGCCATTGTTTCCAAGCAGTACTTGTGGATTTTCTCTGCTAGAAAACACCAAAAACAACTTCTCTGAGGAATTTCTGTATAAATATCCTTGTGCAGCTCTTCACTGGGAGCTGGTGTCTCTGTGCAGTACACCCTACTGTGGATTGCATCTCTTTGACCATACATCATCTTCCAGTTTTGGATGTTTGAGGTTTCTTCCAAGCCAAGCCAGGCTATGATTGTGATCTCCAGCATTCTCTTTCTCCAGGCTGAGTCCTGCAGATGGGCACAGACATTGCCTCAGCCTCCTCTCTGGGCTATCCCAAGAGATTCAGCTCCTAATGCTCCAGAGCCCTAAATGGGATCAGGGCAGGGCAGCAATTTGCAACTCTGCTTTCTTTTGGATTTTGTCTGACTTTAAGTGGACTAAAAGCTTTCTGTGCAAGTGGTGCCTTGTCACTGCCAGGCAGTGCCTGCTCCAGTGACCTTCCAGCTCAGCTTCAGGAGACCTGGGTGCCATCAGAGGCAGGGAAAACCAAACCAAACCTCCTCCCCTGCTTTTCTTTTCCTGCTTCATCCAAGGCTGTGCTTCCCCCTTTAGAGGGGAAATCCTCAGTGCCCAGGGTTAAAAGGTAGAGGAAAGGGTTCTGTGCCTGCCACTGTAGTTCTGCTTAACCCAAAACCAGTTAAACCAGTAACTTCTGCTCCATTGTGGCACTGCCAGTCCTGGGCCATGAGATGCAGCAGCTCTGCCAGATACTCTGTCCCTGCTTTATGTTGTTCAGCCTAAAGGGGCTCCAGGAGAGCTGGAGAGGGACTGGGGACAAGGGATGGAGGGACAGGACACAGGGAATGGCTTCCCACTGCCACAGGGCAGGGCTGGATGGGATATTGAGAAGGAATTGTTCCCTGGCAGGGTGGGCAGGCCCTGGATCCCTGGCAGTGTCCAGGGCCAGCTTGGATGGGACTTGGAGTAGCTTGGGACAGTGGGAGGTGTCCCTGACCAGAGCAAGGGGTTGGAACAGAATGATTTTTAAGGTCCCTTCCCACCCAAACCACTCTGAGATTCCAGATTTTCTGTGTCCAAGATGAGCTCATTTGGGATGTCCATTGCTTTTCCAGAACCTGATCAATAAGATGTGGCTGGGGGTCCCATCCCAGGACAAGATGGAGATCAGGAGCTGCCTGCCCAAGCTGCTGCTGGCTCACCACAAAACTCTGCCTTACTTCATCAGGAACAAACTCTGCAAAGTCATCGTGGACATCGGCCGCCAAGACTGGCCCATGTTCTACCACGACTTCTTCACCAACATCCTGCAGGTGAGAAGTCTGTCCATGAATGAAGCCAGGTTTTCCCTTAAAAACATTATTTTCTTTCCTTGAGTAGGGATTTCTTTTGAGGAAGATTAAATTGTAAGTGTTGCTTTGTAAATTCCTTTTTAATTTTGTCATAACTCTCAACTTTTTCCATGTGACGTTTTCTCTCAAAGTGTTTTGAGGAATGAACAATACTGTGCCACAAGTACTCACTTTGAATTTAAAATATTATGGGCTAGCCCTTGAAAATACAAGGAGTATGGGTTGTTCTTGAAACAAAAAAGAAGTCAATAAATTATGGATGTGTCACTGATTCTCAAAAGGGCAGTTTTTCAATGGAGGATGTTGCAGGTTTTTTACCCAACGACCAAAGACACCCCAAAATCTCTGGTACCTCATCAATAGGGTCACTAATGGGATGTTGTTGGGGTGTTTAGGAGGGCTCCTGCTGGAAAGCTCAGCTGTGAACTGAGGATCCTGACTTAATCCATGTTATTAGCTGGAATGTTGGTTGCAACTCAGCATCCTTAGAGGGAATCCTGAGCTGGTGCAAACCTCTTTTTGTTGGAGTATTTTGTCTCCAGTTCCCTTTAAATTGTTCCTAATTGGCTTAAAGAGGCTGAGTGTAAACTGAAGTGCTGCACAGGCTTTTTCTGCTGACATAATTACATGATTTGAATGCAGCAAAGCCCACGGCCAAGCCACAAGGCAGTTATTTAAATCCAAGTCCCCGAGTGGCAGGAGTTTATTTGTTAAGGCAAATGGATCTAGTATTAATTGCAAAATTTAAAAAAATCCTATCTTGGCTTCAGAGCTCATCACTTGGCTGGTGTAATCACTTTTCTGACTGTTCTGGAGTGGGACATGCTGCAGGTTTTGCCTCAGTTATCAATTTGATAAGAAATATTTGGAAATAACTCATGTGGAGTTTTGCCTCTCATTTCACCTGGATCTGAGCTGAAAGGCAGCCTGAGCTCTTCTGGCCTTTCTTGCACTCTGGGGTTATCTTAAGGGATTGCAGAGCTCACTTGAGGAATCTATTTTCTCTTAAGCCTCTCCTTGTGAGCTCAGCAGTGGAAGAAAACGTTTCCATAAATTAATTTATGTGGCAGACACATTCCTAAAATGTTCAGAGAAAGTGGAAGAAAAACAGTAATGCTGAATTCCAGGGCCTCAACAGAAGGAAGAGAAGCACAGGAGCAGAATGATTTGCTGTTAGAATTGCAGATGAGCTCTGTCTCAGGACTTTTTTCTGAGATGATTTGCAGCATGTTCTTTGTTCTTCAGCATTAAATTGTATCCCAGTAGTATGAGTAGTCTCTAAACCTTTTACTGAACCACTGGAGGGGTGGAGAAGAAAGGTAAATTGGGATATTATATTGTCATTATGCAAAGCCAGTAACTCTACATAAAGTACTGCTTCCTTAGAGGTATAAAATTTGTTTAGCCTGACTGAGGTACCAGTGGCTGGTATTGTTAAAACTCCCTGGGTTTGTCAGAAAATACCCTGAGAGATGATTTTTCAGTCCCTTCACAATTTACCAGCAAGTTGGGTGTTTCATTGAGCTCTTTGCCATCTGCTCCTGTGTCTGGGACTTCCTTTACAGAAGTCAAGATAAGAGCTTTTGGATGGGCTATTTTCTCCCAAAATATTTCAGCAAACTCTGTGTTTTTAGCAGTGTTAACTCAGCCTGGCTCTCCTTTGGAGGGTCAGGGGATCAGTAGCAAAGTCAGCCTGCATTACAGAATTATGGCTTCAAGGATTACTTGTAGCAACTGGGATTGGCTTTGGACATTTTTCTCCCAGAGGGGGCAGAGCATAAATCACTTTGGATGTGTCTGGGCAGCAGGGAAGAGCAGTGCTGTCCTTCAGCTGGAAACAAAACTTTGTCCCACTCGAAGAAGTCTTCAATATCCCAGTGGCTGGTGAAGGCACAAGTCAGCTTTTTGTCCAGTCCTGTTCCAGCATGGGGCAGAAGTTCCTCTTTTTGGGGGAAATGCAATTTCCAGTGTGAGATCCAGTACAGGTGCAAGGGGAGGTCACATCCCTCAGCTATGGCCTGGTGGCTCCTGGCTGCAGCCTTTGGGCCAAGTGGGATTTTTGGGGAAGCTGCTGGGCTGAGGTGCTGAGGTGGTCCTGGGCAGGGCTGAGGGCAGAGGATGCAGCAAACAGAAGGGACAGGCTGTTCCTGTGACCGTGCAGGGACACAGAATGTGTGCAAGGACATTATGAAACCCCGAGGATTCCCATGGGGCCCGAGCTGTTGCGACACCAGAGATTCACGTCTGGGGAAACGGAACCTATTTGTGGGAACTCCTCGGCGGGGAGGCTGTTGTAAACTGTGAGTGGTGTTGCTAATCCCTGTGTGTCAGTGAATGTTGTCATCACTCTGCTCTCCTGTCCCCCTCAGCTGATCCAGTCTCCTGTGACCACTCCCCTGGGGCTCATCATGCTGAAGACCACGTCGGAGGAGCTGGCGTGTCCCCGCGAGGACCTGAGCGTGGCGCGCAAGGAGGAGCTGCGCAAGCTGCTGCTGGACCAGGTGCAGACCGTGCTGGGGCTCCTCACAGGTACGAGTCACACTGTGCCACCCTTGTGTCACTGCCAGCGCTGTGTCCCCTCACCAGCCACAGCTGCTGCTGGGCTGCCACTCCTGGCACTCAGTGGAGCAAAATGGGGATAATGGGGTGGGAGCACTCAGCTCTGCCCTGCAGCATTTGGGTTAAGTTAATATGAACCGACTGGTGGAGCAGAGCAGCTGCTGAGCTGCCTCCATGAAGAGGGGTGGAAATTGTCTTCTCTTAGTGACCAAAGCCATTATGGAGTGTTTCTGCCCCTCTCAGAGCACTCGAGGTCTGTTCTGCCAAAGTTCTCCTGCAGTCTGTGCTGTGTTTGTTGGATCAGTGTGGCTTTGAGAAGGCACTTCTGAAAGGTCTCTCTTTGGCCAGGTATTTTGGAGAGCATCTGGGATAAGCACAGTGCTACTGCTGCCACTCCACCACCGTCCCCGACCTCAGGAGAAAGTGGTAAGGAAAAGCTACAAGATGGATTTTCATGTACTTAAACCTGCAGTATCAAACACAGATTCCTTCCTTTACTGTCTTAACCTCTCCTAATAGCCCTTTCCCAGAGCTTTTCACAGGCCAACAAATTCCTGATTGGAAAGAAAAACCCTACATGAAGAAACAAATTCCAATGTGGGGACACCCCACTGCAAATGTCATTAAATTGTAGCCATAGAGCTCCTTGTTGTCCTCAGATGGCAGAAACCTCCCTGAAGTTTCAGTGCAAAATCCTCTAATGACAGTGAATTAAAATCATGGCATTGTTAAGGTTGGAAGATCTCACTGAAGTCATCAAGTCCAGCTGTTATTCCAACACTGCCAAGGCCACCACTAACCCGTGTCCCCAGCTGCCACATATGCAAGGCTTTGAAATCCTCTCAGGGATGGTGACCCCACCATGCCCTGGGCAGCTGTGCCAGGGCCTGACCACCCTTGTATGAAAATTTTTTCCAAATACCCAACCTAAACCTCTCCTGGCACAGCTCGAGGCCATTTCCTGTCCCTGTTCCCTGGAGCAGAGCCCGACCCCCTGGCTGTCCCCTCCTGTCAGGGAGTTGTGCAGAGCCAGAAGGTTCCCCCTGAGCCTCCTTTTCTCCAGGCTGAGCCCCTTTCCCAGCTCCCTCAGCCTGTCCTGGTGCTCCAGCCCCTTCCCCAGCTCTGGTCCCTTCCCTGGACACGCTCCAGCCCCTCAGTGTTGTGAGTAGCTCAGAACTGGACACAGGACTGGAGGTGCCTCAGCAGTGACAGCACAGGGGACAGTCCCTGTCCTGGTCCTGCTGTCACCCCAGTGCTGCTCCAGGCCAGGTGCCATTGCCCTCTTGCCCACCTGGGCACACGTTTCCTCTGAGCAACTTTTCAACCCCTCTTCCCCAAGCCTGTGGCCTTGCATGGGGTTGGCATTGTCTCCTGAATTCAGCTGTTGGCACATCAAAGCCAGTGGAGCAAAACTGAATCCTAGCTGGGAAAAAGAAAATAAAGGTAGCCAAGTCTCTGTGAAATGGAACAGGGTGCCCAGAGCAGCTGTGGCTGCTCCTGGATCCCTGGAAGTGTTCAAGGCCAGGCTGGAGAGGGCTTGGAGCCACCTGGAATAGTGGAAGGTGTCCCTGCCCATGGCAGGGGTGGAACTGGATGAGCTCTAAGGTCCCTTCCAACCCAAACTGTTCTGTGATTATGAAAGTTTGTTTTCTATCTATTCCTGCTAGACTTCTGTGTGAGTGCTTGGCTGATGTTAACCCATTTACATCTCTTTCTTAGCTGCCTCTGAAATGGAGAACAGTTTTCTGTCCTTGTCCTTGGCACACATTTCCTTGTCCCTGGGACCTTGAACAGTTCCCTGAGAGCTACAGATCATTTCCTTGTGGCCAGATTGCACCAGGCAGCTCCAGACTGCTGCCTCTGATAAGCTGTTGGCAGTGTTTTGCTTAGTGCTAAACCTTTCACATTGAAGTTTGAGCAGCACTTCCAAGTGCTCCTTTCCTGTCATAGAAGAGCTTAAGATACTTCTGTATTTATATACAAACCACAGAGTTTAATGGGAAGAAATATTCCTTTGGGTTGGCAGGGGGAGAGTGGATTTTGCTGTAGCTGGGAAGAGTTTGGACAGGAAATATTTACAGAAAAGATCAAAGCTTCTGGTATCAATTGTCAAGGATGGTGCTGGGGGAGGGCACTGGTGGAACAAATTCTGGGCTGGCTGTCGTGGAAGCCTCTTGGGTGTCCTCAGTCCCCTGGGGCTTGTGCTGAGGCAGCTTTCATCCACCTGTGTGCTCACCTCGTGACTTGGGATCATATTTCCCAAACTGGAAGTCAGCTGCAATTCTGTTCTGGGCTTTTCCTTTCTCCCCTTTCAGGGAAAACAAACAAACTTCACACAGTGTTTTTTCAAGATAATTGCTAAGAACCAGGACCACACCAGCAGTGCCTTTAGAAGTTTCATTTTGCCTGTGCAAACTTGTTTGTGTGAAACTCTCTCAGTTTTATTTTTTTATGCTGTGTCTTTACTGTCTCCATGTTAAAACCAGCTGTGCTTCCACTTCTTGAAGTCACAGAATCACTAAGGTTGGAAAAGACTCTGAGATTGAGTGCAGCCATTAACCAGCACTGCCAGAGGCACACTAAACCATGTCCCCAAGTGCCACATCCACGTGGCTTTTGGACATTTCCAGACATGGTAATTCCAACACTTCCAAATGGAGCACCAGGTGCTTTCCTCTGATCCACTGCTTGCTCATTTTGTGTTCCCTGAGATTCAGTTCCTGTGTACTGGAGATGTGCTTGAATGTTTTCATTGCTTAAGTGAGGCCACCACCCTTTACTCTTTGCATTCAGGTGAGATTAAAGGTGTTCCAAGAGGCAAAACAAGCTCCTGAGTCTCCATAAATGTTTAATATCCTCCATCAGAGCCCAAATCTCTTTAGAAACTTGGAAAACCTCTGCTTCCTATTTTTCATTTGCACAGGGAAGTGGAGTGAAATGGTTACTTGCAAGTCTTGCATAGATTTTAAATAGTACTTGAAGACAACATTAAACTAATTTCTCATATCACTAAAGCAAAGGAACTCTGATAATGTCCCAGGCTAGACAACATTAGAGTTATTGCCGTGGTGTAGGATTTACTCAGCAACAGTGTCAGTCTCCAAATGTTGTCTTTGCACGATTTATAGCACATTTCCTGATGAATCCCTTCCTAGGAATATTCACTCACCTATGGCAAACAAATGAGTGGCAGAATTATTAGTGGCTGCTCTCCTGCTGCAGAGCCAGTCACTGGGAGTTTTCTCCTTTGCCATGAATGCAGCTGATGCTGGAAATTTGTCACCTGTTTGCAAAGACACTGAAAATCCCTGAACCTCAGAGCTCAGTGATTGAACTGCGTGCAGAGCACTTGAACAAACTGCTGTGAGTTACAGGAATGTAATTGAGAGTTTCTGGTGTGGATGGATTAAAAGATGAGAATCTTTAATTCTCATTGATTTTTGTGGAGTTGGCTGAACTGAATGTTTAAAAGAATAACAATAGTTGGGGTTGGAAGGGATCTTAAAGCCCATCCAGTTCCAACCCCCCTGCCATGTCCAGGGACACCTCCCACTGTCCCAGGCTGCTCCAAGCCCTGTCCAGCCTGGCCTTGGACACTGCCAGGGATCCAGGGGCAGCCACAGCTTCTCTGGGCACCCTGTGCCAGGGCCTGCCCACCCTGCCAGGGAACAATTCCTTCCCAATATCCCATCCATCCCTGCCCTCTGGCAGTGGGAAGCCATTCCCTGTGTCCTGTCCCTCCATGCCTTGTCCCCAGTCCCTCTCCAGCTCTCCTGGAGTCCCTTTAGGCCCTGGAAGGGGCTCTGAGGTGTCCCTGGAGCCTTCTCTTCTCCAGGTGAGCACCCCCAGCTCTCCCAGCCTGGCTCCAGAGGGGCTCCAGCCCTTGGAGCATCTCCATGGGCTCCTCCAGACTCTCTCCAGCAGCTCCACGTCCTTCCCGTGCTGGGCCCCAGGGCTGGGGCAGCTCTGCAGGTGAGGTCTCACCTGAGGGGGCAGAGGGGCAGAATCCCCCCCTCCTGCTGCCCACCCTGGGGCTCAGCCCAGTACAGGGGGGGTTCTGGGTGCTCACAGCCAGGCCATGTCCAGCTGTCACCCCCAACACCCCAAATCTTCCCTCAGAGCTGCTCTCAGTCTATTCCCTGCCCAGCCTGGACTGGTGCTTGGGATTGCCCCGGTGCACTTGACCTTGTTGAGCTTCAGGGGGTCTGTTAAAGCACAGTCTGAGCTGTCCAGGTGTGAATGTCCCCTCAGGGGGTTCAGTGCTAAGAATGAAGGGCAGGATTGTCTTGCTCAGCCATAGCCACGTGATGCCTTCAGTTTCTAGAGTGCAGGAGAAAGAAGCAATGATAAGACTTGGCAGGGAATTATGAATTTAGTGATGTAAGACATCAATCTTGGTAAAAAATGAAGCCTTAGGAGGGATGTGTTCATCACTCAGGCTCTTGTGTACATTGGAAGTAGCTCAGTAAATCATAGCTGTTATTTTGGCACTGCTGGTGTGTCAGGATGTTACACTTCCATAAAAAAATCACTCAGATTCTCCAAGAACTTCAGATTCTGTAGCACAGCAAGTGCCAGATTTTTAAAGGTGAAGAGGTTATTAAAGATGAAGAGAAGTGCATTGCACAACCTGGGGAAGGTGAATGGTTTTGCAGCAGGTGGAAGCCTGGGGATTGTGGGCAGCATCTGTGGGAAAGGCAGCCTGGCTGGGGCTGGCCCTTGGGTTCCAGAAGCTTTTGAGGAAGCAAAGACCATCAGGGTTAAGGGAGTCCCCGGGTTGTTGGTGGCTTGGTTAGAGGTGGGAGATGAAAGGTGAGTGCATGTGGTCCCCTCTTGCTGTGAGTTCACCCTGGACTAGGCAGGATTAACTTTAGAGCTTCTCCACATCATTGGAATTCACAGCAGCAGCAGTCAGCAATAATTCCCTGCTGTGCTGCTCTGGGGAGCCAAGGCTCACCTGCACCTTGAGTGGTGGCTGCAGTTCTGCTCTCTCACTGTCAGTGGGTGCAGAGGAGCAATGAAAGCTTTGTAGAAGGGCACTAAAGGTGATAGAGGGATGTGAATGGCTTCCCTGTAAGTAACAACAGAAATAAAACCTTTCTGTCAAAGAAAGTGAGCAGGAGCTGTGTTAGAAGCCTGACATAAAGAAAGTGAAAGCAGGCTTTATTTCCGTTCCCTGTTTGGGTAGAAAGTGAAACCAGGAGCTGGCATACTCCAAACAAAGCAGCTTCATGGGGAAGCTGTGGAACTCTGTCACGAGATATTGCAAATATTAACTTTATATTGCTTTGGTTGGAGGCTGGAGAAGGTCATGGAAGATAAATCCTGAGGCTGTGTCAGATTTTTTAGACTCCACCTTTCTTGGGAAGCCTTTGTTGTGTGGTTGGGAGGCTGGGGGATGTGATCTGTGCCTGCCATGGCATTTGCTCCCTGGGAAGTGGTGCTGCCCTGAGTGAGCTCTTTGGTGTGACTGGGAGCATCATCAGAAGTGTCACAGGCCAGCAGAAGACTGCCACCTTCAGCATAACAGGGATGTGCCAAGATTACATTAAGGATGCTCAGTCTTGTGGGGGAATGAATTTTATAATAAATTCCTAAAATACACCCCATGCTATTGTATTTTCTGAAATACCAGGAGGACCCTGCCTGGTCAGGCCAGAAGGGTTGTGTGAGGCTAATTCCTGAGTACAGAAATCACCAGTTCCTCTCACACAAATAACCTGCTGAATCACAGGATGTTCTGAGTTGGAAGGGATCCACAAGGATGGTCAGAGTCCAGCTGGGCTGGGCAGCTGGGGGTTCATGCCCTGCCTTGTTGGATCCCACAAACCTTGGGCTTTTGAGCTTTCTGTGCTTTCTGGCACTGACCCCCTGGAGAACACTGCTTTTGACCTGAGGCCTTGGAGAAGGCTTCTAAATATGAGTGGTGAAGTTAAAATGACAGGTGTGTAGTTAAATAGAAGTGTGTGCTTTCACATGGTAAAGGGTTTTAAATTTGAGGTTTTTATAGTATGGTAATAGGTATGGGACAAGATGGAGGGTTTTGGGTGGTGTCTCTTTCAATGTTCATCTTCCTTCTTCATGGGTTTCAGGCAGTAGTTTCTGGTTGGTCAGTCAGTGTCACACTGAGGGTCATGGGAACTTAGTTATTGGGTTAAAAGGATAAATAATAGAGGTGTTAATTCTCTATTGGGCTGTTTAGCTTTAAGACACCTTGTAGCAGCTGGATTCATCTCCATTTTGCTCACTTCTGGCTGGTAGCTAGAAGTGCTGCTGAAGATAAGATTTAACAAACAACCAAGCCAGAACACGAGAAAATCCATTTCCTTTGTGTATTTGTTAATGCTGGCTCTGAGTGAAGGCAGAGGAGACAAAGCACTGATTAATGGTGCAAACTCCCCTCGCTGTCACACCGCTGTCACACCGCCTGACCCCGCTCTCTCCCCCAGGTGACCTCTTGAGTAGCCTCCTGCAGAGCCCCAGCGCAGCCAAGCTGCTGAACCAGCCCATCCCCATCCTGGACACAGACAGTGAATACATCTGCTCCCTGGCTCTGGAGTGCCTGGCACACCTGTTCAGCTGGATCCCCCTGTCCACCAGCATCACCCCGTCCCTGCTCACCACCATCTTCCACTTCGCGCGCTTCGGCTGCGACACCCGCGCCCGCAAGATGTCATCGGTGAACGGCAGCAGCCACACGGCACTGCTGGGCCAGGAGCGGGGCCGCCTGGGGGTGCTGGCCATGGCCTGCATCAACGAACTCATGTCCAAGAACTGTGTGCCCATGGAGTTCGAGGAGTACCTGCTCCGCATGTTCCAGCAGACTTTCTACCTCCTGCAGAAGATCACCAAGGAGAACAACGCGCACACGGTCAAGAGCCGGCTCGAGGAGCTGGATGAGAGGTGGGGAATCCTTCAGGCTTCCTCTGAAGGGATCTGGGTTTGTTTTGGGGTCGTGCATGGTGTGTCTGGTGGCCTTTTTATTTCAGAGTACTGAGGAGGGCAGCCAGGCACAGAGGTGGGTGTGCCCAGGTAAGGGCTCGGTGCTGGCCCAGGTTTGTGCTCCTCGCTGTCCCTTCCCTCCCCTGTCCCTGTTTGTTGCTGTTTGACTGCAGGTCTGAGGTGGCACCAGAGCTGAACCTATTGTCACAGAAGGCACTGCAGTGTCCCCTCTGGTCAGTATCTGAGAGTGGGGACACAACCTGTGAGTCATGACTTGGGAGAAAATAGCAGAAAACAACTGAAACAGAGAAAACGGCTTCCTACCCTTCATTGAGCCATGGCCATTTCTGATTTTTTTTTTGTTTTGTTTTTAAATTTATTTTTAAACAGTACCCAGCATAGCTTGGGGAGCTCTGTTCAGTGGTGAATGGCTCCACTTCTAATGCTCTCCACAAGCTTGGCTGAAGGCAGCAGGGAAGCAGCAGCACCTTGGCAAGCTGTGTATTCTCATTTTCCAGGGTGTTAGTGCCACCTTTTGTTCCCTAGGACAGCTCCACCCTCTTATGTCAGATATTCCTACTTGCAGGGGACAAAGTGAGACTCCTCTTGGTGTTTTGTTGAGTGGCCAAGCCTGGGTGTTGGCAGGGTGGTGACTTGGTGCTGCCTCATGTCACAGGGCTGCTGACAGTGGCAGAGAGGTTGTAACTGTGTGAAAGTGCTGAGTATTTACTATGGGTACACAAGGGTGGAAATCAATTTCCACTCAGGAGAAAAAAACACGTAGCAAAAAAGCTGTGGGTCCATTTGTAGAATTCTGATACAGAATTTTCCTTTTCCATATCCTTTGATAAAGGTGTAGCTTTGGGGTGGTAAATCCAGACTCACAGGGAATTCTACTGCTTATTTTTTGCTAGCTCTGACTTGTGTTACTCTAGAAATGAGATGTGTGAGAATGTGCCACCTTTGCCTACAAGGCACAGAGAGCCAGGAGTTCCCCTCTGGATTTCAGAAAAGCTCTCCTGGAAACCCACAGTCCCAATCCCTTATTGAACTGTTCTTTCTTTTATGGACAAAATCAAGCAGCCTTTGGGACCAGCCTTCAGTGGAGGCTCTGGAGCTGTGCTGGCCTGGGCAGAGGTGGAGTTGCCATTCCATGACACTCCTCAGACCTGTTATCCACAGGGACTGTTGGTGTCTGGAGTTGGGAGACCCCCCCTTTCTTCATTACTAAGGTCTGAAATAGGGATGGAACCAACATCTCCTGGAGACTGGAGAAGTCCAGCTGGCTTCTGGGGGAGTGGAGCTTTCTTTTCTCCTTGTCTTCTCTGTGGAAAAGGCCATGAGGATTTTCCTTTTGTCACTTAAGGGCACAGCTGCACTTTTTGTGTCCAAAACTAAAGGACTTAGTGCATGGAAGTGTCATCCTGGCTTTCCTGAAGGAAAGGGGCACTGAAGGAATCCCCTTCAGTAGCTGGGTGTGCTCAGAACCTGCACTCCCTGGAGTCCTTCCTTGCCTTCCTCTTGTGCTGCTGGTTATTTTTGTTCTGTTAAAAATCAGTCTGAACATTTTGAAACTGCCAGACTAGTCCAAGAAAGAGTAATTTCAAATTGCCTTTTGCTTCTTTTGTGTCTGGCTTTGAAGATCCCAAAATATGGGAAGGATGGTGAGGGTCCAAGCAGTGGCTCAGTAGTTGGAGAAGGGGGCTGGGGGCCAAGGAAGAATTTCACTGGTCTCAGGTCAAAGCCTATTTAGAAAATAAAAATTAAAAGGATGGAGGTGTTTGAATCTGGACTTATTTTTTAAATTTTTTTCACCTGGCTTTGATTTTGAAGTGTTTGATCTGTGCTCAGGTGTGCTCAGTGATCTCCTGTCAAGTAGGCAGTGCCAAATAAAGAAGGAACTTCATCTTTTTTGCATGTTCAAAGCAGTGTGTGGTTTTGAAGGCTCACAACAGCCCCCAGTGCTGCAGCTCTGATAGCTGGCAGTGCTGCTGGTCGTGAGGGAGTTCTTGTTAGAAAGAGTGGGGATTCCCAAAAAAACCCCCACAAATCCCCAGAGTTTGCAGCAGTGCAGGGCAGGCAGTACAGTAAAACCAGGCTGCTCATGCTTGTCTGAAACTCTGCTGAGCCCAACTTTTTATTCAAAATACAAACTTTCAGTGGTTTGGTGCATTTCAGAGCTCTGGGCGTGGGGGAAGGCTGGAATTGCCTGTGTGTGATGTGTGTGTGGTGCTGCCACCCCTCCTGTGGCTGATGGAGTGTTTAACTCTTGCTGCACAGATGGAGCTGGAGATGGTTTTTAACCCTGCAGAAGCTCGTGCTGTGCAGGGTGTGTTTGTGTTCCCCAGTAAATCTCACCCCACTGGGGGTTTTTTTGCCATTTTCCCCTCAAGAACTGTCCCTGCTGCACCAAGGTCGTGCTGTGGCTGCAGTCCCTGAAGATTTGGTGGCAGGCTCCTTTTGGGAACTACACTTTGTACATTCCCTGAGGAGCCTCATGCTTTGGAGGAAAATTTCTCTTTCATTTCCCAGTCAGTCCCTGGGCTCAGCTCAGAATGGAGCTGATCTCCACTGCAGGAGGAATTTTCCTTTCCAGCTCTCAGCTCCCTGGCTCTCCCACCCCCTCCTGTAAGTGTAACCCCTCTGTTGCTGATTCCTGCGTTCACTTCTTGCTTCCAGCTGAATTCCTCGGGGGCACAGTTCATTTCACTAATCCTGTCTCCATCAGTACAGTGACCTTTGCTATCAAATTATTTCTCCAGGGTGGAGGGGGTTGTGTTTATTTGCAGGCCTGGTTGAACTCGATATTTGTCTGAATATTGAAGTTGCTTTTGACTAGATTGTCTTTTCTGCTGTTTCAGGTGTTAATGGAGTGAAGGGTTGCCCATCCTGTAGGTAATCATTGCAGGGCTTTATATTTTAATTATTCTACTGATGGTTAATTGTAACTTTGCTTTGATTGAGAAGATTTAGAGTGGCTTTTATCACTATTTCACTGAAATTGCTTTGCCTTGGGGCACTTTTCCTGTTTTTTCTCAGTGTTTTCTCCTTTCCCTTGTAGCTACATTGAGAAATTCACAGATTTCCTCCGTCTCTTTGTGAGTGTCCACCTACGAAGGATCGAGTCCTACTCCCAGTTCCCCGTGGTTGAATTCCTGGCCCTGTTGTTCAAATACACTTTTCATCAGGTACAGCTCCACATCCTCGTTTTTCCCAATCTGTTCTGTTGTTCTTGTTTGCCCCAGTCAACCCAAAAAAAAGAGCATTTAACTGGATCTTACTGGCACTTCCCAGTGGTGCTGGGGACTTGGAAATGGCTTCATGTGCTCTTGGATTTAGCTGGAGCCAGAGGTCACAAGTGGTTACCCTGCAACAACAACTTATCTGATGTTTCACTTTGCTTCTGCTTTAATTTTTTTTTTCTAGTCCTTGGAATGGACAATGTGTGGAAATGTCTCTCAGACTTGCTTGGTTTGTGCTTAGGGATGCTGTTCTTTGTCCTCAATCTGTGGCTTTCTTGTAGCTTTTAGTTTTTGTATTAAAAAGCCCAAGCCCTGTGGCTTTAGGTTGGTTTTACCTTGCTGTAGAAGCTGTCAGTGCAACTCAGCCCCAGCAACACAGGAATAATGACAAGGAAACAGCTTTATATTATCATAGATAGAATCATGGAATGGTTTGG